CGGTAGCTCATGAGGAGGTCTGGAAGGATGAAAGAGCTTGCAGTTTTCCAGATACTCTCATTAAGCAGCATATTCTGCCACCCTGGAAAGCTCCAACGCTGGGAGAGCATGGACCAAGGAGTTGATTTTGAAAGGGAAGGAGCTTGCAGAGGGGTCAAAACAGCCTGTGGAGTGGCTTCCAATGATCCTGGCAATGAAGCTTGCACTGAGGATCATCAGCTCTGTGGAGAGGAGGTGGGTGCACCATGCTGCAGAGCAGCCCCCAGGAGAGGTGCACTCCTAAATTCTCTGCACAGGGATGGACCTGCCAGTGGAGAAAACCTCTGAGCACCAGCTACTGCTGCTGATCATCCACCCTGTCAGTCTGCCCTTGTCTGAGGGGGGCTGAGGGGGCCACATCTCCCCTTGCCCTTGGCTGGCTCCAGGCTCCATGCATGGAGATCTCAGCACATCCCAGCAGATCTGGGGCACAATGTTTTGTTGTAGTGGGGCAGCTTGGCTCTTCCCCTGCTCCCTTCCAAGTCTCCACACACCTGCTTCCCTGGGTGTACCCCTGCATGGTTTCTGCACAGGCCTATCTTCATGGCCACTTTCCAGGTGGTTTTTGTGCAGTGAAGCAGCCAGAGGAGGCAGAGCCAAGAATCTGCTCCAGGTTCCAGAACCTCTGGGATTCACTCTGAGGGCAGGGAGAGACCATCTGCACAGGCGGGTTGGTGGAGGAATTCCCAGGGTGTTTCCCATCCTTTTTTAAACACAAACTGATTCTCTGGAAAGACTGGGAAAGCACCAGGCCTCTTGACAGCACAAGAAGCATCTGAGAGTTTACTTGTGCACATGATTGCAATTAGCCTAGGGCTCTAGCACACTAAAATTAAACTAAGAAAATTGTTTCCATCCCCAGATATCAGCCTGCCTCCTCAGGGGACCCCCCTGTCACCAGAGGGAAGATCTTTGACCCTGCTGTGAGTCAGCTCCTGAATGCCCTAGGTTTCAGCTGGTTGTGGTTGGGGCAGCCATTCCCAACCACAGCTACTCCTGTCACTTTGTCAAACCTCAGCCAGCCTGGGACACAGCACCCATATCTATAAATACAATATCCCTGTTGCCATCTACTCCAAAACCTGCTATTCCTTGTCTTCACATATGGAGAATATGTATTTCCTGACTCATTGCAGCAGCAGCCTGTCCTTGAAGGTCTGTGTCCATCCTCATTCCCCTCTCTTTCAGGTTAAGTGAGCTCAGATGACTCATTGCTCATGACCAGACTCCCAATCCTTCTCACTGGGATGCAGGACAAACCCCAGGGTTTTACCTCCCCAGCACACCTTGGCTGCAGAAACAAATCCATCTGCAGGAGCAGGAGCCCCAGAGGTTGTGCTGGTCCCTGTGGCTCAGGTGCCCACCTGGGTGAGGTTTCCATCCCAGTGGGCTGCAGAGAACACCCACGGGATCCATCACTGGGCTTTCACCACCCTTGCACAGCACGGAAGGAGAAGCACAGCCCATGACCCTGGACTTCCAGGGCTCACAGCCAGCAGCCCCACGTGCTGTGTGGTGACAGCCATGCCAGAGGGGTGCCAGCAGCCTGGCAGCATGTGCCCTGTGGGACGGGCTCTGGGAGCAGCAGTGAGGCAGCTCCTGGTGCTCGCTGCCCCGTGAGCAGAGCCAGCAGGAGGGCAGAAGATCCCCAGGCAGGGGAAGAGGGAGGTGAGAGGGGCAGGGGGCTGTGAAGGGGCACATCAGAGGAGCTGAGGGGGCAGGCAGCTGTGAGTGCCATAGTGCCAGAGGCTTGGAGTGGCCCTTGTGAGCAGCAGGACCCCCGGAGCCCCCTGTGCTGCCCAGGGACCAGCTGTGCACAGGAGCTGCAGGAGGAGGACATGGGTGGGGGAGCCCCATCAATCCCACTCTTCTAGCAGCCCTGCAGTTTCTATTCTAGGTTCCCCAGAGGCAAGGATTGGGCATTTCCTTCTCCTTCTGCCTGTTGTCATCTGGCTGCTCTGCTGCTGCCTCGTGTCCTGCAGGGCAGGGCCCAGGTGGGACAGCATGGCATGGCCAGAGCTTGCCCAGCATCAAGAGGAGCAGAAGCATCACAGCTGGTGTCTCGGTGCAGGTGGGTCCCAGTCCAGCAGCCCTTCACTGGCCAACACCCCCAGGGAAGTTCAGTGTAAAGCCTGCAGGGTGATTTGCCCATTTGCCCTCTCTGAGTTCTCTTCTGTCTTGATTTTCAGCAGAATGCTGAATGGTTATGTATAAACTCAATGCTTTGCCTCTGCCTAGAGTGAGGAGACAGGACTTTCCTCCATGCTCCTCTCCTTTAACACCTGACATCCCTGCATCTCTCTGATGTTTCCTGTCTCATGGGGTCTTCAGAGTCCCATCTCCAGATACCTTCTGGAGAGGGGAATATCTCTGTGGTTTTGGTGGAGATTAAATTCCCTATCTGTGTGGTTTTGGTGGAGATTAAAGTGCAAAGCAAAGCACGTGACTGCAGGAATGGTTACACTGGCCCTAAGAGAGCACAGGTTTGGTCTGGTTGGAGAGCAGTGAGCACCTCACGTCCCATGACATGCTGTCCTCTCCCAGTGTGGTTGCACATGGACATAACTGGGGCCAGTCTGGTGCTCCCCAGTTCCCTGGCACACTTCTGTGTACTGCACAAGCACCAGTTTACACCAATGTACAGCTCTAAGGGTTGCACCCTTATCTCTGTAGTACCACAGTGTCCATAACAACAGCATCCTACAAAGCACTGCACTTCCCCAGCAGCCCCAAACTCCTCCCAGTCTTTTAGGTTGAAATTTATATTTACAGTCTCAGAGGTTCAGGGTGCAGGGAGATCTTGGTGGAGCCAGCTCAGCAGTACATTCTGACCCTCAGCAGGCTTGGATGGGGTACAGAGAAGTGCAGCAAAGGGAAGAGGGAACTGAGCTGTGGCTTGGGAAGAAGATGAGGGTTTTTGGTCACAGGTGGAGGTCAGTGACTGATTTTCCTGGAGGATGCAGGGACCTGCCACTGCATTCCCCCAAAGACCTCACTGGAGTGGAGCCCACAGAAACACTGCAGAAAGCAATCAGAGCATCTCCTGGTGAGAGCACATTGCAGCACAACATTCCACTGCAGACAGGCCAGGGAACCACCAGAGTCTTTGGAAAGTGAAATGCTCCCAGTGACATGGGGTCTGGTAGTGCCCCTGCTTTTAGGAAGCAGGAACTTTGTTAAATAAGAGGTTCATGGGTGGACCAGTCACTGTGAGCATCCACCCTCCTCCCCTTGTGGCTGGGCATCCACCCTCTTCCCCTTGTGGCTGGGCTACTACATCCTCAGGAAAGGTTTGGGGTCAGGTAAGTGCCAGAGGATCACAACAGGATCATTAAGATTGGACAAAGCCTCTGAGATCACTGAGTCTCATCATTAACCTAGCACTGCCAGCTCCACCATTAAACCAAGCCCCTAAGCAGGCACATCGTTCAGGCAGGGCTGCAGCCAGAGGGACATGACAGCCCAGATGCCACCCTGTGCCACTGGCACAGCCTGGCTGAGAGCAAGGCAGCTCATCCTGCAGCATGAGGACACCAACCCAGGCTCTCACAGGACAGCCTGGAGCAAGCTTCCCCATGCAACCATTTCCAGATGGAAATGCCCTGATCCCTCACTCCTCTCCTGGCTCTGGGGTCACTGCTGAGTGTGTCCCTGCTGGTGCTGCCTGTGGCTGCGTCAGAGAGCCCTGTCCTGGGGCAGGAGGGCAGAGCTCACCCTCCCCTTCCCACGGGGCTCTGAAGGAGGCATTGCTCCAGTCACGCTGCATTCACCCTTACCCGGGCCTGACACAAATAGAATTGATCAAAAGCACCTTGAAAAGCTCCCCGTCCCCAGAGCAGAAGGCTCCTCTTGTTGAAATTGGGTGGGAGAGCTGCGGTTTTTCCTCAGTTCCTTTGATTTGTTGCCTAATGCAGGGGATGGATAAATCTCTAAGCCCTGAGATTTAGGGCAGGATTCATACTTTACATCTTCAGAAGACGTAGTAAACAGCCTTATACTCTCTAATCCTGGGAGCAGGTTTGTACCTGCTCTCTCTGCATAAACTGGACCAGCTACAACAATTTCACATTGTGGCTGAGTTCAAAACATCCCCTTGGGGATGAAATGTTTATTGCAGAAGATTTTTAAGATGGTTCCTGAGGGAGAAAGGGACTCCCACCTCAACATCCTGGACAGACCCTGAGGACTGTTACAGGGACACAAGAAGCAGAGTGACTCTGTGAGCAGTGAGACACCCTAGGAAGGTGTGAGTGTAGGTGTCACAGCACACCCAGCTCAGCTGAGTGTGGCTCGCAAAGTTTCCAGAGGAGCTTTGTCTCTCAGACCTGCCCCACTGGCCAGGGGTGGGTGCTGCCTGCAGTGACCTTTATTGAGCAGGTTTAGCAGATCCCTGATGGCTGCAGTGCTCCTGGGTCCAGCTGCCTCCATCAGCCCTGGGGGATCCCTCAGCTCACACTGCCCAAGGATCCCACCTTTCCCAGGTCACTCCAGAGCCCTGCAGAGGTCTCCTGGGCTGTGAAGGGGTTTGTGCTGAGGACAACTGAGCTGGACAGAGCACGGGCCCCTTTCCCATCTACCTGGGATCTTTGAGTTGCTCCAACCCAGCCCAAACACAGCAGCAGAGCAGATGGGGCCAGTTTGGGGTCTGGACTCCACATCTGGGGGACACCACTTGAGGGGGGTTTGGTGAGTTTTATGCAAAATGTGAACCTCTGCAGATTCTCCCAGGCCCACCATTGTGGGCACAGTGTGCCCTGGGGGGACCTGCTCTGTCAGTGGTTTGGGACACAGCTCCCCAGTCCCACAGGGCATGTTTGCCAGGGTGGGTTTAACACCTGACCCCACACCTTGAAGCTTTGCATCCCCTCGGGATGGCTGCAAGTCCCTGCTCACAGCCAGTGCCAGGGGCTGGGGAGAGGCAGGGACAGGGATTGCTCTGCAGAGAGGAGTGAGTTACTTACAGAATCTTCAGGCTGTAGAGGCCAGAGAAAGCTTCCCCTGGGATCTTGGAGATCTGGTTTCCAGAGAGGCGTCTGCAGTGAAAAGAAGAGGCAGTCATGTGTCAACATCCTTGTGATGACAGTCCCCTGTCTGCAGAGGCTTAACAACTCGTCCATCCTGCCACTGTCCCCTCCAGAGGAGGCTGCAGCACCTGAGAGCTGAGCTTGGGATCATCCCCTCACCCAGCCTGAGGAACAGGCAAAGAAAATCCCAGCTCCTGCCAGACCCGAATCCAGCATTTTCAGCTTCCAGAGACAGCTCATGGCTTAAAGCCATTTCCTGGATAGACACAGCACAGAAATTACAGCACAGGTAGTGCCCAGCTTACAGACCCTGCTCCATGCCAGGCCTTGGCAGAGAGACTGGAGCAGTTTCTGGGAGAAAACAGGGAGAGCTGTTTCTGGACTGTCCCTAAATCCTGGCTGATGAATGAGGGCTGAGGGATGGGAGAGGAAGATGAAGCAAAAGCAACATCACAATGGAAAAATGGGACATATCTGGGACATAGACCAAAGAGCAGGGGAGAACATTCAGAACTTACTGAAAGAATTTATTGAAGGAAACCTGTGGGATTTGCCATTGTACAGTGTCACCTGATCTTAGAACTCAAAATTTAACAAGGCCCAAAGCAGGCTGGGGAATTAAAAGGTATTTGCATTTTTCACTGCCATTAGAAACTGCATCACTGTTATCATTAGGACTATGGTGGGGGAATGTGGTTGAGCCAGGACTGAAGTCCAGGACTCCTGAATCTAGGCTTGACCTAGAGAAGAGGTGACTTTTCTCTTTCTGCTCCTGTTTTGAGGACAAATATGGATGAAGTCCCAGCACCCATCAGCCAGAAATCATAAAGACAGGTTCAACAACCAGATGAAGACCCTAAATTGCTACTAAAATTGGGCAAGAAGCTTGTCTACTTGACTTGGAGTGGAATATGGCATCTCCAAAACAGAAACAGGGAGCATCATTTGTCACCAGGGAACATCTTTTGTGACCAGGCTCATCTGCACTCTCACAGAAAGTCCAAACCAGGTCCAAGAGGTTGGGCACAGACCTGGCAAAGGTAATCACTAAACTTTGACGAAGCTCATTTCTTTTTAGGCATTTTGTTGGGGAAGGAGACAGGTGTGGAGGCTGAGCAGTGCAATCCTGGCTGGAAGCAGAGTGCAGGGGAACCAGGGCTCTGCAGAGGTCACCGAGGGGACCGAGGTGTTCTGGGCAGCCAGGCTCACCTGTGGCAGAGCAGGCTGTGTGGGTGCCTGAGCTCTCCCTCCCCTCGGGAATCTGGAGCAAATCGCTCCCATAATGAGGCCTCTGACAGCATAAACAGCACAGGGTCGTCTCTTTAATGTGTGTGAGCAGGTTGGAACCTGCCTCCTGCAGCACATGATCTGCCTGGCAGGCTGGGCTATTTGTCACTTAGGGGCTGTGATTTGGGGTAATTGCTGCTTTTGATTGCTGATTTCCACATGGGAGGGAGTGTTGTCCGGGAGGCTGGAGTGCTTGCCTGGAGGGGAGGTGTTCCTGCACGGCATCCTCAGCCTGCTCCCTGCATCCTCCTCCCTGGCTGTCTGTCCTCACCTCCCCACAGCTCCGGGCTGCCAGCAGCTCACACCTACCCCGGGCTCAGTGTGCCTTTTCTGGCAGCTCCGTGCCTCTCTGTTCACTTCCCTGGGTGTGTTTGAGTGTTTGCCAGGTCTCTGAATGGATCTGGAACCTCCAGGTTACCAGGAGAGGAATGTGAAGCTTAAATGGAGCCCAAGCTGGGGCTGCTGGCCTCAGAAGGGTGGTGGAGAGCCCCAGATGCTGGTGGGACACATGCAGAGCCAGCTGGTGGCACCTCAGCACTATGGGTAACCCAGAACATAAGGGGGGAAATAACTCTGTGGTAGATGCCCTGGTTTCACTGGGTGAAATTAGAGGTTTCACAGGTGAATTTAGAGGTTCAAAGCATCCCCAGCCCCAGGTAAGGCCCCATGCCTCACTGTTGCTGCAGATGTTTCTGTCCTTGGCCGTGTTTCACCAGACTGTGCCTTGTCCCTGGGCCACCTCTGGTCTCTGGCTCTTCTCTCCACACCTTTGCCTCCTCCTTGTTACTGAGGCAGCCCAGCTCCTCTCCCCAGGGTTAGGAGTCCATGCCAAGCCAGGAGCAGGCACAAAGGGAGGCACCAACCAGCACCACTTCTCTGAACTCTCCACCCAAGGCAATTGACAGTGTCATTGGGGTCCAGGATGGGCTATGCCCACTTCTGTGCAGGGGCTGGGCATGTCTGTGTTTGTGCACACAGGCTGAGTTTTCACTTTCCTAGAGGGCTGCATGGCTGGGGCATGCACATAGGGTCTGGAGGTGTGGGTTTGGAGGTTTGCTAGACCTCCCAGGACAGGTGCTGCATGATGCAGGGGGTGCAGTGAGGGGTTCCAGGCAGAGGAGCACGGCTGTGCCACCTGTCTGAGAGCAGATGAGGAATGGGTGAGCTTTTGGGGTGTCCTGTCAAGGGTGATCACTGGAAACATGTCATAGAACTACAGAACTGTTTAAGTTGGAAGGGACCTTAAAGCTCATCTCATTCTACCCCCTGCCATGGGCAGGGACACCTTCTACCAGCCCAAGCGGCTCCAAGCCCTGTCCAACCTGGCCTTGGACACCTCCAGGGATGGGGCAGCCACAGCTGCTCTGGGCACCCTGTGCCAGGGTCTGCCCACCCTCACAGCCAAGAATTCCTTCCCAATATCCCATCTATCCCTGCCCTCTGCCAGTGGGAAACCATTCCCCTTGTCCTGTCCCTCCATCCCTTATCCCAAGTCCCTCTCCAGCTCTCCTGGAGTCCCTTTAGGCACTGCAAGGGGCTCTGAGGTCCCCTGGAGCCTTCTCTTCCCCAGGTGAACCCCCCCAGCTCTCTCAGCCTGGCTCCAGAGCAGAGGGGCTCCAGTTCTTGGAGCCTCTTCCTGACCATCTTCGTTTTCATGCCATTAACTCCTGTGCCAGTTCATGTAAGAGACCCAAGACATAAACATCTTCCTGTGTGTGACCCTTCCTCTGTCCATGATCACTTGGCAGTCTTCCAAGTGCTTGGTTCCCTCTGTCCCTCTCACTCAAACTCTCCAGAAATTCCCCTGCTTGGCAGACAGGCACCCATTGAATATATCTGCAGAATTCAGATCCCACAGGAAATGCAGTGAAATGGTTCCTTCCTTTCCATTTAAAATGGAACAATAACATTTGGAGTGATGCTGCCAGTGTGACATCCCCTGAGACAGCTCCTAATTTACTCCTTCTGTGGAGGAGGCTTGGGTGAATAACCCCACCAAGGAGGACAGAAAGGCACTGCCTTTGCCCTAAGCACAGGGAAGAGGAGCTATTCTTGCAGGGCTGAAATTCTGGTCCACAGCACATGGGCTCAGCTCTAGGCCTGCTCAGGGCTCTTTTTGGGACAGACTTGTTTCAGGGCTATGTCCTGCTCTCCTGAAGTTTACACTGTGACATAGGGCTGGGGAAAGAGAAAGCTCTGGATTTCCAGTGGCTGACAGAAGGAAGAGAGAAGGGGCAGGTAAAAGGGGAGGGTGGAGGGTGACAGCTGGATGTGGCTGGCTTGCTTCAGAAAGCTCGTGGTGGATTTTAGATTCTGCCCCCCCGCCTCCCCTTCCACCACTCCCGTGATTTCTGGGAACATTCCTCCAGGCTTTGATCTGCATTCCCAATACACTCCAAGTTGGAACAAACTCATGGTTTACCACCATATGGTTGCTGCTGTTCAGTTACCACAGGCTCAGCCCTCCTGTATCTTGGGCTTCTTGGTCATGCTACAACTTCCATGGCACGCCCGAAGGCTGTGCTGGGCAAGATCGCTCATGTCAGGTGCTCAGGCAGCTCGGTGATGCTCTTATCACTCACATTAGGAGGCAGGAACGTTGCCCATTGGCAGGACAGGACAAACATGTGTGTCCATATCCCAGTGAAATTCTCCCCTTGCCAAACTTTTATTGAGCGTGTCGGCTGCCCCTTTGATCTCCTGCTCGGGTTGGTTTCTCAAGCACTCACCCTCTCGAGGCAGTGTGCCCAGACTCTCCATGCTCTTGCCTAAATTGTGTCATCACACCAAGCCTGGGCCTTCCCCTGGGCACACAGGGGACCACAGGCCCCCTGTCATGCCTGAGTTTGTTCTTGTGCTGGTGCAAAGCAGGAATGAAGCCAATTAAGTCAACAAGTGAAAACATGGTGCATTTGAGAAAAGGGCCAGGCCTGGACTCTTCACACAGGAATCTGCAGCTGGTCCTAGTCTGGTATCTCCTGAAGATGCCTCTAATGTGGTCTCTGCTGTCTCACTCCATCCCTGAGGAGAAGACTGTGCCTGTTTCCAGCCCCGCTCGCTGTACCCCCCTCAAATGCCTGTTCCAACTCGATAGATTGATCGCATTTGTTCTTTTGTTTATGGTCCTCAAGCCAGTTTTCAACCCACATGAATGCTCATATGCAAGCCAGTTTGGATGCATTTGCCAAGTAATATTAGTAAGACACAGCTCCTTAATGAACAGGACACTGAACACCTTCACTCCATCTCTTTATATTATAAACTGCAAAGTTTTCTGTTTGTTCCCTCCAAATCTTCAGAGCAGTTTTCACTTTTGACTCTACTTTTGGTGCCCCACCTGGGGTACCCTAGATCATAGTTTTCAGGAAAACTGGGGCCAGCTATCCCAACTGGCAAGGATTTTTCAGTTGCTGAACACTCTCCCTGGTCTAAATGGAGTAGAAATAGAATGGAAATCTGTAAATTTTCAAAACATTTTGAATTTGATTTGGGCAGCTGCAATATCTTGGCCTCGTTGGTCAATGTTCATGATAGACAACCCCTTAGAAGCCCTTGTCTCCTGTCCTCACCTGCACCTTAGCCAGTGCTAAGGACAGCCCTCACGCCATGCACAGGGATGAGCTTTGGAAGGCTTCATCAGAGGAATTATCCTTTATCTCTCTCTGTGGTTCTGCTCACCCACTGAATTGATGAGCAGCACCATCCTCTGCCAAGGACTGGTG